CTGGCGCCACCGACCTCATCGCTGCCAGAGAGCTACAACGCAAGGGCCACAGCATCATCGTCTTCGAGCGCGGCACCGGGGTCGGAGGAACCTGGATCTACAGTCCCGAAACCGAATCCGACCCGCTAGGTTCGGATCCGACCCGGTACGTTGTACATACGAGCCTCTACGACTCCCTGCGCACTAACCTCCCCAGAGAATGCATGGGATTCTTCGATTACCCCTTCGTCGCGGTCGAAGACGGCCGTGAGGGCGATAGCCGGAGGTTCCCACGTCATCAGGAGGTTCTGAGGTACCTAGAGGATTTTGCGAGGGATTTTGAGGTACTGGAAGTGGTGAGGTTTAGGACGGAGGTGGTGAGGGTTGAGATGGAGGAGGAAGGGAAGTGGGCGGTCAGATGGAGGAGGGTAGCAGCTGGGGAGGATGGAGGCGGTGAGATCACCGGAGGAGGTGAGGATCAGGTGGAGGAGGAGGAGGAGGAGGAGATTTATGATGGGGTTGTTGTTTGCAACGGCCACTACACTGAGCCTCGCCTTGCTGCCATCCCTGGTATCAATCCTCTTCTTCAACTTTTCAAACATCATTAATTTCTTTCGGAAAATTTTGAACTACGTATGTGGAGCTTGATTTCAATAGCACCGGAATTGCAACAAAAAAAAAAACACAAGAGAGAAAAGGTCGATTATTAATTATGAACCGTTTATTCATCTACGACGAGGATCCAGCTCTAGGTTAATCCTTAGCGAAATGAACTCCTCAGCTCTTTTATTTACATTAACACGTCCGTGGCTGCAGAAAGTAATTGTGACGCGTAGTCCCCAGCTCCATCTTTGCGTAAAATATCCTGCTGCTTCGTGTTAATTAAACAACGCTGGATGTACTTCTAAATTCTGATCCACAAGCAAATAACAAGTACCAATTTTGTCAAAAACATGTGAGTAAAACCTGTAGGGAGAAAGGGAACCCTGCATGCTTGTGTGGACATACATTTTGTCTTTCTTGTTACTGATTTTGTGCTCCACTTACCTACAGGAATTGACATCTGGCCTGGCAAGCAAATGCATAGTCATAACTACCGTGTCCCTGAGCCATTCCGTGATCAGGTTTTTTTTTTTTTTTTAACTTAAAACTTCTGTTGATTTCTCTTCGTCGTCACATCTAACCCTCTTTGAGTTATGATTTAATGGATCATAAGCAATGCAAGTATCGTTCCGTTCAATGCAATTGCTTGTCATCTCTCTTGCAGGTTGTGGTGATAATTGGGTCTGCTGCTAGTGCAGTTGATATCTCAAATGAGATTGCTCAATTTGCTAAAGAAGTTCATGTTGCTAGTCGATCAGACACTGAAGGCACTCCTAAAAGGCAGCCTGGATACGGCAATTTGTGGCTTCATTCCATGGTAAAAGCTCTCATCTCCGGTGAGTTGTGACCTTGGAATTGATTTTCATCCAAGGGCAAAATCAACTTATTTGTGCATATAGAGGTCACTAATTGCTGGTAAATTGATGCAGATAGAAAGCACCCATGAAGATGGCACTGTGGTTTTCCAAGATGGAAGTTCAACTCATGTTGATGTCATCATGCATTGTACCGGGTATGGATTTTGGTAACATTTGTTGTGAGGAGGGTTAGCTTTACAAAGTTGCATTTCGTTGTAACATTGCCTGTGTTCATCTCATAAGTTAGCACCTTATTTGCATGGCATTTTGTTGTGTAACATTGCAAGTGTACAATGCTGTATAGCATGAGAGCACCAATTAAACTCGTTCTCAATGAAACCTTCCAGTTGCTTTAGTTTGTTTTGCATTCGTAGGAAGCTAGAATTAACGGCTGAGGCTAGTAGCATAAGAGACTCAATGAATTATATAGAACTTAAAATTTCAGCTTAGATTACTTTAAGAGAGCCTCTCCATTTGCTCTTGTATTGGCTGTTAGAATTTCCTTTTGACAACAAAACATATTGCAGTCAATTATATCTCATCTTTATCAAGCTTTAAGATATCTTTTGCAAACCTTATCGCTTCTGAAGAGGAGGGGGGAACTCAACTAATCCATCACTGACAGATAGTTTCAGGGATTCACTAATAACAGAACTAACTGACGGTTGAGAATTTTCCTTTCTTGATTGTCTATTTTGTATCAAGGGATGGAGATAGATGTTTTCCACTGTGACATGATATATCTATTTGATAGTAATGTTTTAAATTGTCTGTGAATTATTATACGTCTATTTCATGTTTAGGTTCTCTATAAATAAGCAAATATCCATTTGTAGAATTTGAGATGTTTCTTGATTTTTTTTTAAATATTGTTACATATTTAAACTGAACTACTTTTTGACTTCGCATTGTTTGTCGCTTTTTTGCCGTTGTAACCCCAAATAGTCTTAGCAGTGTCTCACCAGTCACCACTATGCGATGCTATCTACTTTCCACAACCTTGATAAGGGCCAAATACATTTAAGCTTGAAGAACTATGATTTAAAACGATTGTTTACATATATACCTCGAAATAATGATTATATCCCATGAGATTTAGCCAATTTAGCCACTTCTTTCAGGTACAAATATCACTTCCCTTTCCTGCAAACCCATGGTATTGTGACCGTGGATGACAACAGAGTTGGCCCACTGTATAAGCATGTTTTTCCTCCCGCACTCGTCCCGTATCTGTCTTTCATTGGAATACCTTGGAAGGTTTAGAGTGTCACTCAAGTTTCAGTTGTCTTTCCCCCGTGATGTTTTGATTCTCAATAGTAAATATTTTTTTTGCACCGTGGCAGGTTGCTCCTTTCCCTCTGGTCGAACTACAGAGCAAGTGGGTAGCTGCTGTTTTATCTGGACGAGTTTCACTTCCAACACGAAAAGTGATGATGGAAGATGTGGACGCCTTCTACAAAGAACTGGAAACTGCTGGATACCCCAAGAGATATACTCATATTATGACAAATTACCAGGTACTTTTTGTCTTGATTTTCTGTTTAAACATCTAAAATCACCCTTGATGGTCATACATGTTCCTGGTGAGCTCCATTACTCTGTCGCTTATAAGGTTGCTATGCATATACTGACATAGCAAGCAGGGTTTGCAAATAATTGATACTTCTCTGCGCTACTCAACTATGTCCAAACAATGATGAATAGTGATCTTGTTTTGTTGATAGTCATTGAACGCATCACTACCTAATAGGTTCCTCTTTCTTCGATGAGCATAATCTTTTGTACTGCATACGTTTTCTATTGATTCTAGTTTTTGGATGTTAGGTTACAATTTTTGAAGATTTTTTAAAAATTAAACAAATCATTGCAAAAAAAGAAATGGGACATATTCCTTAACTTGTGCTTGTTCTCATCTTTCTGTGGAAGCGGTGGTTATATCCTTCCCTAGTGCTCATTAATTGGTGATTTTTTCCCCATTATATGTAGAACAAATTTACCTCATAAAGGAAAACCTAAAGCTATGTTTTCTTTGCTTGATGTTTCCTAATTAGGGGTTAGATGTGGTTTGGTCTCTACCAAACTTCTCTATAGATCATCATGTATATGTCAGCTGGAGCTGTCTTCCTTCTTTATAATTCAACCAGAAAAAATAAATGAAAATGAAAATGAAATAAAATTATACATTTATATATGTTGCAGTATGAGTACATCGACTGGCTTGCAAATGAATGTGGGTATCCTCCCACCGAAGAGTGGCGAAAGCTGATGTACAAGGCAACGAGCAAGAACAGGAAAGAGCGGCCTGGGAGTTACAGGGATGAATGGGATGATGACCATTTGGTTGCACAAGCGCATGAATATTTTAAGAGGTTCTTTAAGTAATACTTACTTTGGTTCACCACATTTTCAATATAATCTTATATACCGAATGATTAATAATAATAATAATAAAATTTGGGCAGTGAAAGTCTGTATATGGGACTGTTTTCTGATGATAATGAAACTAGAATGAGGTTTCGATAGATTCTCCATGTAAGGGTATGATAAGAATTTGTAGCATCACTCATTCATGTTTATGAGCTTTGACATAACTCAGCTTATCAATGTCTACTCTCATAACTTCATATATGCCGAGAGTATTCCAAATTAGATTGATAAGGATTCAAGAAAATGAGGAGAAAAGGAAAAACTTCTTGAGGAGTAGGCGCATATCGGTTGCTTTGTCCACAATGGGAAA